TAAGCCTCAGAAGGAAAGAGCCACAGCTCTGAACGACCTAAGAGCATAACTGAAGGGCTTGAGAGCGGCTGAGAATGTGAGGCTTCTGTCTCCTGTGTTACCTGCAGCTGCCGAAGCTGTCACACACCTGGCCCCGTGGGGACGCTACTCCGTGGTGAGGATGAGAATTAGTGTTAAAGTTAATGGGACTTTTCCTTTCCATGGATTTCAACAGATATTGAAATCCATCAAAGATACGGAAATCCACATATATTACATGTGGTTTATATATAATGTGTAATAATGTACCCTATTACTTTGGCTAATTTGTTTGCTTTTTGATCCCAGCTACCCTCCCCGCCATGTATCACTGTAAGATTTCTCTTTATCCATTTACACGCTACCCCTTTACTTACATAGGCACACAGACCACATAATTACGTACATTTTTTTTTCCATTTAGAGTCATAGAAACTACAGGGAATGGTAAGAACAAGGATGTGATGTTTGTTCTGCAAATAAGGACTCGGTGGCTTCTAAAAAGCAAGTCTATTTTGGGGGGTCAGAGAGCATCCAGACATAAAGCCATGCGAAAAAGTCAGCCCCCGGCTCCAAGCTGCACAGTTCGGTTTTGTGTTTTAATCTAAGAGATGATTCTTCATGTTGTGGCCAGGGGAATGGGAGGGCTGGGTGTTGAATAAACGTGCTTGGGACCGTATCGGGCCAGTTGGAACACCCAGTGTGTCAGTCACTGCCTGCTTTCGCCAGTAAGGAATCTCCGCAGACACTTTACCGAAGCTAAGCCGAATGTGACTGCTTTCTGGAAAACACACCCTTCCAGAGGGAGACCACTTCCTGGGGTCATGATACTTTGTGGGAGAGTTGGGAGATGTTATTGCCAATAAGGTCATCTGCAGACTGTGAACTCTGTTTCTTTTAAGATTCTAAATGTGCTTTATGTTGCCCCTGCAGTTAGGGATGTGAATGGGAGGCCGAAATACTGATTGATCCTGGCTGGCCTGGCCCACCTGCAGCCGCAGCCTGTGGAAGGGTCTGTGGGCAGTCAGGGCAACACCCTGGTGTGCGTTCTCCTCCTGCCCCCTCCGGGGGGACGATGGGCAGAGCTCTCACGGTCTGGGCAGCAGCCCACCCACAGAGCAGTGGTCATTTTCATGTCCTTTTCTTCTTCCTGGCGGTTGGCCATTCTGCTGCTCAGTCACCGCCTGGCACACAGTGGGGTGAATGGAGCTTTTATACAAGGTCGGGAAGACCTGAAAGTTCGTGGTGCGTGTGCACAGGTGTGTGTGTTCAACCCCGCAACCAGATAACATGTAGTTGCTCCAGGGAGTAAATTGATCTTGTTGCACGGGTCAGAATTTAGCATCTAGGCAGCTGCTTTAGCAGACTTTTACATGGTTTTCCCGAGTGAAACTGTCAGAAGAATTTTCATCTTTGTTGCTGTGTGGTAATTACACAGACAACAAGTATGTGGCCCTGCCTTCCCAACAAGGGCCCTTTTCTTGTGAGGTTAACATCCGGAGGATGTTGTGGAAGACTTATAATTACTTCTTCATGTTCTTGATGATAAAATGACCTTTTAGCTGTTCATAATGAAATGATCGCTTTGAATTTGTAGATTGTGGCAGTAGCGTGTAGAGGAAGTGAAAACATGAAGGCATTTCTGCACGGGGCAGCGGGCATTTGGGTTTTGTTCCCAGGCCCTCGGACCGTGTCCTGTGTGTTTGGACCCAAGCAGGGCTGGGCCTTGCTATGTCTGCTGGGGGAGGGACGGGACGGGAGGGGAGGGACAGGTTTACCTGAACTGTTTGCAGTAACTTCATGTAGTAACCCCCAGCCTGTGCCCACCACACCACCGGGAGCTGACAACCTTTAAATTTAGGGATGTCAGTGTCTTCCCCGCTGCACAGGGGACTGATGCTGCCAACCCAGAGCTATTTCTGAAATGAAAAATGCTGAGGGCTTAGAGGAAGAGAGAGCAAGTGGATGCAGGAAAAAACGCCCTCTTGAGTTTGGAGTTTGAACATTAGTAGATTTTCTCTTAATAAATAATTGGCAGGAGAACAGAGGAAGTAGAATATGTGACGTTGGGCTTCCATGTCATCCCCACCGCCCTCCCCCGTGTCCTCTTTCCAGCACTTCATTTTCTCTTGGGTACACAAATATCCTATGAGAGAGAGGAGGTTGTCCGTGACCATCGGAAGCCAGCAGTCCTCCCGTTCCTTGCCTTGCCCAGCCAGTCCAGACTACGCCGTTAAAACATCTAAATGACGTCCTCTGAACATTGTTAAACGGCATGCCTGGCTGGAAATTCTGGGGTTAGTTAATTTAAGTTCCCGATAATAGCAACATGCCCGCAAATCAAGCATAAGTTGTGTCTTGCCTCCTGCTGTGGACGTGTGGCATTTAGTCAAAATCAGGTCGTTCCTGCTCGGTAACTCGGTCCTCCTTTGAGGGGAAGGTCTGCTTTGTTCCAGCATGGGGTGCGGTGAGGAGAGGGAAGGACCTCTCAGCTCTTACAAGAGCCTTGTGTGATGCCGAAGGTGCAGTGAGGTGGCCGCTTCTCATGCAGGAGCCGGAGCTCCCTGTCGGTTTACTTCACTTCCTGCTCCGTGCGTAAGAGGAAGAGCAGCCAGCCAGCGTGAGGGTCGGCGAGGCGGCCACACCACAGGCTGCTCGGGGGCGATTTGATGAACCATTGGCTACAAAGCCAGAGACCCCTCAGCCCTGCAGTTGGTGGGACGGAATAATTCGCAGTGGGCTGAAGAACGTGTCCAGAGGAGAGCCTGGGTCCGAGTCAGAGGCTGGAGCAATGCCCAGTGATCCCATTTTGGGGGAGAATTTGATCCAGTAGCTGGGAAGAGGGAGAGGAACACGTAAGGTAACAGGCTTGGGGTAGAAGAGTCACGTCGTTAAGAATGAAAGTGGAGGAAGAGGATCGAGTTTTGGAAACAAAATCATTCACCCTGTTGGAGCCCTCCGGAAGGTCTGAAAAATACCTGAGTCTGTGGCTAGAGAGAACATTTGGGTATAGATGTGTCATCATGAATGGAAACCACGGCGAAGAGAGGAGGTTTACAGGAAGAAATAGAAAGGGGAAGGGGGTCACCAGTGGATGCCTGAGGGACACAGACACCTTGCCAGTAGCGAGGGCTGCCCGGAAGAGGAGGGCGTGTGGGGAGGACGGCTTCCCGAAGCCAGTGAGCGCAGGGTGCCGGGCGGGGGCTGACCAGCCCCGAGAGAGTCACTTGGTGATGGTGACCTTCCAGAACCATCGCAGGGCAGCGGCGAGGATAGAATTAGAAGAGGAGGAGAGGAAATTAAGGCAGCTAAGAGGAAGCAAAGGCTGGAGGAGTCTATGTCCGGGCGGAAGAGACTGGAACAGGTGGAAGATGGCACAACAGGCACGACGGAGAGCCCAGGGCAGGGCTGGGGAGCCTCGTGGGTGCGCGCTCTCCTTTTCTTTTAGAGCAGCTTTCATTGCCTAAAACGTCTGGGTGCTCTCAGCCCCGCCGTAGTGCGATGTACTCTGTGTGCTTGGTTGGAACCAGTAGGACGGTCAGCGCCGGACCGGCCTGGTCCGCGAGGCCAGGGCGACCTGCTTCTCCTCGCACTGCCCTTTGCACCCCTGGGTCTGCTGAATTAAGCGTGTGCATCCTCCCTGCCCTCCCCTGGTCCTCTGAAGGTCCCCGATGCATCAGACGTTGAGTCGGCAGTCGGGAAGGCTCTCGTTGCTGGAGGGTTCTCAGCTGCCGCTACCTGTGGGGTGTGCGTAAACCCCCGAGGCCATCCCGACGCGTGTGGCGTCTGTGTCATTCCGCTTTGAGCACCTCTCCCTTCTGCCTGGAAGCCCGGTGCTCGGACTTTTACTTTTTTTTTTTTTTTTTTAATTCATCCCTTCAATGTAAGTTGGCCTCTAGCTATCCTGAACAGCTGGTTTGAAGATATTAGCCAGGTTGAGTGTTGAAAATCGTGTTTTATTGTCTCTGAGAAATTCTTTTCTCACCTGTGGGTAAATGAGCAGATACCAGCACAGTGGTTGGGCGTTTGGACTCAAACCGGACTAGCTGTGCTGCCTGCAAGTTCACGCCTTAGACCAGTTACTTAGTTTATGCCCCAGTTTCCTCAGCTGTGAGATGAGGGTGATAATGGTACCTGCCTCAGGAGGTTGCTGTGGGGATTAAATGGGTTAAAGCCTACAGTGTGCTCAGCTCGGGTCTGGTCACTCAGTAAGTACTCACTGCCATTACTGTTACTATATTTCTCTCTGTTGTTTAAGCCCCTGATTAATCAACACTGGCTGGGAACATATTCATATAACCACAGGAAACACGAACATGTACCCGACACTGTGCTGAGAGCGCCCTCAACTCTGGCACCACCCCCAGCAGGTCTGGGAGGACCCCAGCCCTCTTCCCCACGCCTGGCCCCCTCTCTGGCTACTGTGTCATCTGCCCCACTCGCACCTTTAGGGGTGGGTCTCCTACACTTTCTCAGTTATGTTTTTCTCTTCCCGGGGGCTTTCCAGACAGCTTTTGTCTGCTTCAGGCTGAAGGCTGTTGGAAGCAGAACCTTGATTTGCAAGCTGAGTTTTGTTTCATACAAGTGTCAGTACCCGGCTATAGGATAGGATCCATTTCACGAGCCGGTTACTAGAAGTCACCCCCATGCTGATCTAATGATGCTAAAATCACCCAAGTGTGGGTGGAAAAGAATTAATATAAAATAAGACTAATTGAAAAGGATCAGAAATTGGTTCTGCCTTGTCTCTTTTGAAGCATAAGTGGAATTATTTGTCTGCAGGATGAGTGGGGTGATTTCAGAGTCTCCTGCCAATGCTAACATTGTGACCCCATGAGAAGTTTGGGGGACGGCCGGGGAGAGGTACAAATAGGCGAATGGAAAGGAAGCCACGGGTCGGTATTTGCTTCCAGAGCCAGGCACCTTCTGGTCGGGTTGTCACTGCTCACGCTGTGCGTTTCCGACCCTTGCCTTTGCCGCAGGGAAGGCCGCTCGAACGCCCACGTCAGAGGAGATTACCAAAGAATCGGCGACGTCATGCTGAAGAACATTCAGGGCATGAAGGTGAGCTGCTTGGGCCTGGGGTGAGCAAGTTCACTGGGGCAAACAACGCCGGGGCTGCCCGGGCGTTAGCTGTGCTCCCCGATGTCACCGTCCACACCCAGCGCAAGGCAGCAGGGGCTGACCGATTGGTAAACTGTTCCTCCAGCCTTTCTGGATAATTTTATTTTGAAGCATAAAGGGAAATCCAATCACTTTGGGGAAAACACTTTTGGTAGTTTTTTGTTTCAGAAGCTCTGCATTGTACCCCAAACAGGTATTTTCTGGGAATAGATCATTCAGAAACTTTAAAAAGAACAAAAAGTGTAGACATAACATTATTTGGTTGACCGAACATTTTCGGTCCATTGCTTTGGCTTCTTCTAAGCATGACAAAAATACTGGATTCGGAGCTGTGTAGGAATTCCAGTAAATTCTACCACTTTAAATCAGCGTATAAGGCAAATATATTTTTAACCATCCAGCAATATCTACAATAATCTAAGAGTGAAAATATAACCAAAAAAGTCAATAAATATTAAACCAATACTCTGTCACAGTTTTGAAATCTGCCCTATGTCTTATAGCTGAAATTTTTTTCTTTTAGTTTTCATTTTAATTTATTAATAATTCCTTTAATATAGAAAATTTTAGTTCACTCAGGTTACCTTTTGAATACATCCATATTTGCATTTTAAAGCAATCTTCCCGTATCTCAACTGCCCAGAGCCTAATAACCGTAAAACCTAATCACTTCTCGGAGCCAGAGGCGGCAGGTGCCCCCATTCCAGTCCAGCCAGCCGTCCCTCCGTCTGTCTGTCCCTCCATGCAGCGGTAACTGAGCACCTTTACATGTGAGGCACTCATAGACTAAAAGTTACCGTTGGAGTTTGAATTAATTCCCATGAATCTGGCTAAGTGAGTTTAGAGCTGTTTTTCCCCTTAGAGGGATATATCTCACGAGGTAGAGACGTGGGAGGATGGCGGGTGTGGAGTGGCACAGAAAAGATAGGACCAGAGGCCACGCAAGAGATTTCCTGTCAGTCTCTTTCTCTTAACAAAGATGAAGATATTATTTACCTGAGTTATCGTTCGCCTTTTCACTGTGTTCAAAAAGCAACACTCTGCAATTTCACGCAGTAGCAGAGAGAGGCTGTGGAAGAGATCAGGATTGCAGAATGCTCTGCAAAAAGAAAAGCAAGAACTGTCCGAGATGTTCCACAACTGCCGTATTTTTAATGGCATAAACTAAGCTTAATGCACAAAACTCAGAGGGAACAACAACTGACGTCTTTTATTTTCTTTTGTTTTTTCGCCCCGGGTAGAGGGCTGTGGCCTCAAACTATGGGCTCAGGCAATCCTCCTGCCTCAGCCTCCCCAGTAGCTGGGACTACAGGCACGCACCACCACACCTGGATAATTATTTTTAGTAGAGACAGGGTCTCACTCTTGCTTAGGCTGGTCTCGAACTCCTGAGCTCAAGAGATCCTCCCACCTCAGCCTCGCAGGGTGCTAGGATTTTTAGGTGTGAGCTTGAACTGACATCTTTTCAACTTTCCATGGTAGTTTTAAAAATTAATATATTTTATTTTTTAGAGAAGTTTTAGGTTTAGAGAAAAATTGAGCAGAAAGAATCCCCACATCCTTGCCCCAACCCCCACTCGCACTTTCCCCTCTTATTAGCAGTTTGCATTGGTGTGATACGTTTGCTAAAATCGATGAACCAATATCGATATATTATGATTAACCAAAGCCCATAGCTGACATGGGCTCATTCTTGGCGGTTCATTCCGTGGGTGCTGACAAACGTGTAATGACGTGGATGCACCATGACAGCGTCACACCGAACAGTCTCGCTGCCCTAACACGTCTCTGTGTTCCACCTGCTCAGCCCCCCAAATCCCTGGCAACCCCTGATCTTTTCCTGTCTCCACAGTTTAGCCTTTTCCAGAATGTCATATAGTTAGAATCATATAGGATGTAGCCTTTTTATACTGGCTGCTTTCACTTTAGAAAAATGTCCTTTTCTCTCTCTTCTGTAGCACGATGTTGTTGCTATTGTCCCTTCCCGGTATTTTCCTCTCTTCTCACGCTCTGCGCTTTCTCTCCGCCCATCCTGGTTTCTCACCTTCTCTCACCCTGTTCCCTAATCTGAGATCATGAGCCCACCCAGGGGGAGGGCCCCCTTCTAGGAGGCCTGGACTCTGCCACGGGCCTTTGGGGACAGCAGCGGAGACCTGCCAGGCTCATTCCCGCCCCACAGGGACTGTCCCCAGCATGCTGCTATTTACCAGCTCTCCTTTGTCCCCTTCTCCGGCTTGCGTGCCAGCTCCCTTGTGCTGCTTTCCCGGGGAGAGCTGATGTTCCGCCCTCCTCTCCCTTAACCTAGCGAGGAAGACCTCCTAAAAATATACCTGATTTCTGCTCCTCACAGTCTCTCCGCAGTCTGGTGAGCTGGCATTTCTGCCTGCAGCCGGCTTCCTCGGCCTGCTGGCATCTCAGTATTGTGCCCGCGCCACGGGCATTTATAGCACGGAGCTCTGTGCAAGCAAAATAAAAATAGATGGAGCAGCTGAGAGCCACTGGCAGCCTTTTAGAGAAATTAGTTGGGTTGTTTTTTATTGTGGTGGTTGTTGGTTTTTAAGAATTTTTGTAAAGCGTGAAGGGGAATGACAGAAGGTTCTAGAATTGTGGAAGCCCAGGTTAGCACTGTTGTCCAAAATGCATAGGGTGATCTCTGGCTTACAGCGTCTTTCCTGACCCACCCCCAACCTGTCCACCTACCTGCATGTGTGGCTGCTGAGCGGGGCCTGCGCCAGAGCCTCCCGCCTGGTCGGCTGTTGCCACTCTGCACACAGGAGGGAGGTAACGTGACCCAGGGGGCTTGGCCGGGCCTTCAGCGCCCACCTGAGAGAGTGACCCAAATCATGATCTCCAGCCCACGGTGTGAACTTCCACCTGCACACATCCACCTGCATGCACAAAAGCCCTGAAAATCAGTGCAAAGGAGTTCCCAGCCTTTCATCTGACCTCCCTGGCCATCCGTGCGGGACCTTCACTGCTTCCTGAACCTTCTGTCCCCCCTCTCTTCTTCCAACACTCGTAGCACTTTGCTTCTCCTGGGTGTTAGTTTTCACTCAGTTTCTCTCTCTGGACAGCCAGGCCTGCTTTCTGATGAGTGCCCTGCCACCCTGAGACCTGCCCTCCCAACCTACTGTTCATTGTCATGGCCAGAGTCGTCGTTTGCACAACACAGAACTCACTCTGCCCAAAACCCTGCTGGTTTCTCTGTGCTTTGGAGAATTCAGGCCAAACTGTAAACCTGAGGAAGAAACGCCTTCCCACCCTGGTCCTCGGCAATCTTTTCTGGACCCCTTCGCCCCACCCCCGACCTTCTCTGCATTCCAGCGCCCGTGCACGCAGGTGTCCTCCCAAGACCCCCACCTTGGCTGGGGTGCAGGCATTGCTTCATTTGCTCATTAGTACATAGAGGCAAGACATTTATTGGGCACCTGCCATGTACTCTAGGCCCCAAGGATGCAGCGACATTACGATGCCCTCTCTCAAAATCACGTATGAGAGCATTGCACAGAGCTGCACACGTACACGCATACACGCAAGTGAGGGTGTGTTTAACTGGTACAACCAAATACCTCTGTGAGCTGTACCAGTGCCAGCTTCCTGGTATCGATATTATACTCTAGTCATGTGGAATGTGACCATTAGGAGAGGAGGATGAGGAGTGCACGGTCCTGCCCTATACATTTCTTTGCAACTTCCTATGAATCTCTACTTCAAAATGGAAAGTGAGAAAATAAACCCCGCAGGGGAGGCCATGCGATGTGGGCTAATCGGGACAGATGGAGCACTTTGTGCAGAAGCTCAGAGGAGCAGGGCTCAGGGCAGGCCCCGGAGCTCACCCTGAGGGAGGGCCCGTGGGCCCTGAGCAGGGGCATCGTGTGCAGAGGCACCAGGCACAAGAGCCTGGCACCGTTAAGTGCGAGGCGGTCAGTGGGTGGCCTGGGGTGAGGGTAGCAAGAGTTGACGCTGGAGAGGTGGGAGGGATCCCGTCCTGAGCACTGTTCAGTGGCATTTCAGAAAGTTCACTTTGGTGGCCCATCTCACAGTAAAGTGGAGGGACATGGTGTCGGAGGGTGCCAGGCTGAAACAGGGACAGTCACTGCAGGGAAGAGGAGACCAGGCTGATGTTTTTAGGAGGGGAAACTGATAGCACTTGGGGAAGGGTTCAAAGACAGACTCTGGAACGTTCCCCAGGTTCTTCTGTCCCGAGAAGCTGGCTGGTGGTGTCACTGATCCTGAAGTTAGAGAATAAGGCAGGGGCCCCAGCAGAGGCGGGAGCGGTGGGCTTGTGCTTGGACACATTTCGTTTCCAGCTCTTCACGGTGTGGGAGTGACGTTTCCGTCCACAGAAACTGGACCATAGTCTGGACGGGAAGTCCAGGTCGGGTGCTACCAGCACAGAGAGGGAGGGAGGGAGCCCATCCTGGGAGGTGGTCACCAAGTGAGCCTGGAAGACAGCCACTGCTGTCGCGGCCTGGGGCATCCCTGGCCCCTTCCCCTCTGTCTGGCAGTGTCCTTCCCTTGGATCCCTCCCCTCCTGCGTAGGGAGCCAAGTCTCCGGTGCCTGGTCTGTCTGCGCCCTGACCGTGGTGGAGCTGGCTGTGTCCAGCCTCGTCCCGCCCCTGGACCCGGCCAAGTAGGTGGCCCACGGTAGGCACTTAGTTACGTCCGAGCAGATGGGATGAGTGAGATAGAAATGTATTCTTAAAGCTAATGCTTATTGAATGGCCCTGGTCTATTTGTGATCTTACGATATTTAGAAGAAAACCACGGCCCCCTCCAAGGAGCCCTGTTCGTGTTTCCCCTCGGTTTTGCCAGTCTGTTTTCAAAGAACACGTGTCCCTCTGATGTCACAAACACAGCTCAGAGATTTATAGTCCACATGTATTTTAAAGTGCTCAATACCTTAACAGGTTTTTATTTCATCCTGAGAACTTAATGAAATAATAAAGCTATAGTGAAATATGAAAAACATGAAATTTAAGGAAATTAAACGTGATGAAATAACGAGAGTGGAGGTCCGCTTCGTTTCTGCAAGTCAGACGCACAGGTCGGCGGCAGGCCACCCCCCACACCTTCCTTCCCTGTCGCCCCCAGCACCTGGCGGCTCACCTGTGGCAGCACAGCGAGGCGCTGGAGGCGCTGGAGAACGGCATGAAGGGCTCCCGGCGGCTGGAGAGCCTGTGCAGGGACTTCGAGCTGCAGAAGGTGTGCTACCTGCCACTCAACACCTTCCTGCTCCGCCCGCTGCACCGGCTCATGCACTACAAGCAGGTCCTGGAGCGGCTGTGCAAGCACCACCCGCCCAGCCACGCCGACTTCAGGGACTGCCGAGGTGAGCGCCTGGTGCCCGGGGTCACCTGGCGTGCGTGTCTGGTCTGCGCTGGGTGACATGGGACGGAGCCCAGCCGGGGCAGGTCTCCTGGGGCAGGAGGGGGATGGGGCGTGACGTCTGCTGTTAGCATGTCCAGGTGTTCATGATCCTGATCTGGTGCTTTCTGTTACATCGTGATCTTCCCGTAAAGAAGGTGCAATGGTCACTATGACCCTTTTCTCCCTCCCCTTCACGCATTTTCTGCTTTGGTCCTGGGTGGTACAGTGCAGAGAACTCTGGAGAAGCTCCACTCCCAGTCAGCCCCCTTCTAGGAAGCTGTCCGCTGCCTGCATAGTTGAAACACATCGCTCCCGCCTCAGGTCGGCCACGGAAGGTGGCTCGTAACTCGTAACATCCCAGCGCTCGCTGCTGCTGGGTGTTTGTGACGTGCCAGTCGCCACGATAAGCACTTCTGTATTAACTCGTAATCTTCACCACTGGGGCATGGGGAGCTGCTTTTACATATCGGGACTACTGAGACCAGAGAGGGTATGGCCTGCCCAGAGTCACAGGCTGGGAAGAAAATGATCTGGAACCTAAATCTAGAACACAGGCTAGCGGCCATCCTACCCTGCTGTCTCATGGTGATGTTACCCACTTTCACCTGCTCAGCCCCTGGCCAGGTACTGTGTCAGCCATCCTACCAGTGCTCACACCTTTACTTCTTTAATAGCTCTATTAGATCAGTGGCATTATCCCATTTTACAGATAAGGAAACTGAGGCTCAGTGGGGCAAGGGACTTGTATCCGTTAGTAAAAGGTCAGAGCTGGCATTGCAGACCACGCTTTCCCCACTGTGCCACGCATCCTCTTTTTGAACCGCAGTCTTTCTGTCTCGTGTTATCCGTGGTCTGTTGGCGTCTGCACTGCCTGGCCAGCCCATAAGCCCCTCGAGGGCCAGGGCCGCACACAGGCCCTCCGTAGGTGGCTCTTGAGCAGATGGCACAGATCTGCACACCCACTAGCAGGTCAAGGCCCTGATCTCTGACCTGAAGTGTCAGAAACACCTCCCAACTCTTCAGCACGTGCGTCATCTTTTTTAAAATCCGTCTCCTTCTAACTCCCTTGCTTAAAAGCTGGGTGACACCCGACTGCCTGAGGGTAAAATCTAAATTCTTTATCATCAGGCCCATCTGGCCTCTCATGCACCAGCTACGCGGTGAGCACCTGTGCTAGGTGTGCGAGGGAGAAGGGAATGACGCGACCCACCGGCCAGTACCTGGGTAGGGACAGACACCGCGTTGGGGCCGTCACAGAGAAGGGCCAGCCGGGACACCAGACTCAGCCTTAGGCCAGGGGGCTGAGGGAAAGGATGTTTAACTTTAAGCTAAAATTTAAATAAGGTTTTTACCTGGGTGTGGAGAATAGTTAGGAACAGTGCATACACAGGTCCACAGGAGACACAGACTGTGGAACGTTCCAGAAAGTAGAAGTGGCTACAATGTGCAACACAAAGAGAGTGGCAAGATGAGGCTGGCATAGTGAGCAGGGACCAGATCCCACAGGGTCTTATAAACCCCACAAGGCCTTAACCTAAGAGAAAGGCAAAACAGGGAGTGTTTTAAGGAGAGAAATGGTGATACCAGGTTTGTTCTAGAAAAGTCCCTGTTAGTATCTAGAATATATAAAGGACTCCTACAAATTACTTTTTATGAAGACAACCCAATACATAGGAGACCTGGCAATTATGGAAGGGGAAGACAAATGCCTCACGACGTGGTTTGCTGTCGACCATCAGTCTTTCAAACCAACCGTGCTGCCTCTGGCCTCCACGCAGCCGTATATTCCATTCCTCCCACTGGGAGTCATTGGCACCACCTCTTTCGCCTTTCCTGAAAATCCTTCCCATCCTTTGAGCCTCAGCTTTTGCCAGACCCTTGAGGTCGAGCTGACCTCGTCCACCTTGTCCTATTGTACTGGCGTTGCCAGTCGGCCCTGCCTGGAGGAAATGACCCAAGGCCCCTCCCAGCTCTGAGGACTCCACAGATGTGTTACCCACAGGGGTGAGAAAATGTTTGGTTTTGCATGTGCTGTCCTTGGCAGACTTGCCCGGTTTGCATTCTACTATTTTTCTAAATAGTCCCCAGTGGAAATAGTCTATCCTTGATAATTAAATGGAAAGAAGTGTTTGTTGCTTAGCTTGAAACATGAGGTGGCATCACTGTAGAAGCATTGGGAATACAAGGTGTGTCTGAGCATAGATTTCCTGAACTAGGGGGATGTCGAGTGCCAAGAGCCATTCCCAGCATGCCCTGCCCACGAGCGCCAAGGGACCTGGGATCCATCTTTTTCCCCCAGAGCCTCCTCACTCCCACCCCACTGAGCACTGTGCCCAATAAATGTGTATTGGACCAAACTGGGTGGTAATGTCTGAAGACTGAGCAAACCCTGGGGTTTGTCACTGTGGTTGAAACCAAGCATTCTGTGACAAGCCAGGGAGAATTTAATTTGCATCCTCCAGGAAAAGCAAGAAAACCAAATGCTTCCCTTCCAAAGCTGAAATGCTGGGGAAGGGAGGTACTTAGTTCGAAGATTGAAGTTCTATCAGTATTTCTTGCTTTTCTTGATGCTCAGCTACTGTGCATTTGCATGCCACCCAAACTCGCATAAATTGGGCATTAGCTCCTTTCACATGTTGGATGACCACCAGTATAGGGGAGATGTGCTTATATTGAAAAATAGAGTTGAATTTTATAGTTATCCCTTGCAACCATCTTGGTAAACACAAGGAAGAAGTGGGGTACGCTGGGATGGTGGTTACCAAAAGTGTCACGGTATCAATTAGACCCTCTCTCAAAACGATGTTGACTTTGCCCCAGATTTTGCTGTGGCCTCTTTGGTTCACTGTGCCTTGTTATTTCTAGGTTAACAGGAGGGAAAAGAAAAACCTCTACCCTGGGACAAAATTCAAGGCACACTTACTCTCCTGTGTCTTGCCCCTCTGAGCCAATGAGTCCTAATTGCAGGACAGCTGCATGCGACATAGTCATGAAGGGGTGATTTACATTTTGAAGATGCTTTAGGGAAACTAAAGTAAAGCAAATACATACATAAAGTAAATCCCTCCATTTTTATTATAGAGAAATAGCACTGCTGTCCCTCCAGGAGGGCCTCTCCCTACAGCATTGGGCTGGAAGCTGCTGGGGAAGACCCTTGCCGGCCATTAATGCTGCAGCCTTTGCGTGTCTGTTCCCTTCCCAGCGGCGCTGGCAGAGATCACTGAAATGGTGGCACAGCTCCACGGTACGATGATCAAGATGGAGAATTTCCAGAAGCTGCACGAACTCAAGAAGGATTTGATTGGCATCGACAATCTGGTGATTCCAGGGAGGGTAAGCAGCAGTGGTGTCAGTGTTCATCCAAGGGGAAGACAGAAAGGAGACTTTTAAGGGGCTTAAATATGAACCTTTTGAACACGGACACTCCCCAGGTAAAACGTCTCCTCCTGCAATGGTTTCCTTCTACCTGGGAGGTAACTGGGAAAACACGAGTGTTGTTCAGAATCATTGTGTTAGGAGAAGATACGGTAATCCTCTGACCTCGTGTTCTGCATTTTCTACTTATGGTTTGATTTGCTTATTTACTTTCCCCCTACCATACTCCAGAGAGGATTTGATATAGCTTATTTCATTTTTTAAAATCTAGGTAAATGAAAATGGAAGATAAAAAAAAAAAAAGAATTGGGTAAAATAGTGATACAAAGCCAGAGAGAGTTAGTGCATGAAAGTATGCTAGAAATTCCTGTGCAAGTATGAAAAGTATTTTATTTATTTTTTTGAGACAGAGTCTTGCTCTGTCTCCTGGGCTAGAATGCAGTGACATCATCATAACTCACAGCAACCTCAAACTCTAGGGCTCAAGTGATCCTCCTGCCTCAGCCTCCCGGGTAGCTGGGACTACAGGCACATGCCACTATGTCTGGTTAATTTTTCTATTTTTTGCAGAGACAGGGTCTCATTGTGTTGCCCAAGCTGGTCTCAAACTCCTGGCCTCAAGCAATTCTCCCACCTTGGCCTCCCAAAGTGCTGGAATTACAGGTGTGAGCCATCTCACCCAGCCAAAAAGTGTTTTTTAAAGATGCAATGTTCTGTACATAATTTAATTTTAATTCAAAATTAAAATAACATTTTAGGCAGAAAACAATTCTGAGAGAGACGTGAGTTCACTTGGCTATTAACCTTCCCCTCTCCAGCCCTGCCTTACGACGCAGGACACTCCCAATGAGCAGGGCTTCCGGTACATACACCCTGGCCAGGCCAGTGCAGTACAGAACACATGTAAAAGGCCTACCTTTTCCACATTCCCTTCCTAGGAAGCAGCCATTGCCGAGGAATCAGATACTCAGTTGCTACATCTTATCGGATCTCTCTATGGTATCTTTACCCTGCTAGCCCCCCACTTTCAAGTCCCACACTACGCAGGTCCAGGGAACTGCAGCCACACTGACCTGCCACAGGCCAGCCTTAACCTGCAGGCAGGTGTCCCGCGTGCCCGGGCCTGGGGTCTGATCCCACAGGTAGCTGCCCGGGAAACGTTAAATCCATGTAACTCCGGGCACTTGAGGGAAGCTCCCTGTGGCGGGGGGGTATTTCCGTCAGGAGGCCTAACTATATAACTGACTGGAAACCAAGTTGTTAGAGGTTGTCAGAAGGTTACTGGGAAGGACTGGGTGGAAATTCAGGCTGGGATTTGCTTCAGCTGTGCTGGTGACAAGATCCTACCAGGCCTGGCACCTCCCAGCCTCACCTGCCCTTCACAAGGAACCCTTAAAAACGCCCTGTGGAACTGGTATAATTTTCTCCTCACTTTGAACATCATAAAATATTTAACATATTATGCTACATGGTAAACAGAGCATTTGTAAAGACTTTCTGATTTTGAGGAGATACTTTCCATGTGCAAGGACGAGAGAGAGTTCCTTAGACGCATCTGCCTCTGTTACTGGTTTTTAAGCAGCAGAGTCAAACCATGGGGCAGATTCCTCTAGCCGCAGGACTCATGTGGCTTCTCCGTCTTCCAGCGTCCCTTGTGCCACTTTTTATACAGCTGCTTCTTTGAGAAGCTGGTTGGGGTCCTTGTCATCTTCCTCACAGCGGGGAGCCCCATAGAGCCTGGGAGTCACGTGACAGTCCTCGTCCTCAGACCCCGGCAGGCTCTTCAACCTGAGCCTCAGTTTCCCCTAGTAGGTGGAGCTGCCAGCTTCCTGGGACGGGCGAGGCAATACCCAGAGACCTAAGCACAGCACCTGGGGTGCAAGCATGCAGTTCGTTGGAACTGAGCACTGTGACTGTACCGTGCGGGGACCGGGTGAGGGGAAGGCAGGTCTCGGCGATGCTCTGGCTTGTCTCCTGCAGGAGTTCATCCGCCTGGGCAGCCTCGGCAAGCTCTCCGGGAAGGGGCTCCAGCAGCGCATGTTCTTCCTGGTAAGTGGCGAGAGCTGCCAGTCCTGGCGAATCCACGTCACCCTGGGCGAGCAGGGTGCTCAGGCTGCCCGAGTGGGGGGACCTGGGGACAGGGAGCAGCCCGAGGTGCCGAGACCGGGCTTGCTGAGGGCGAGGCGTGGTAATGAAAGAGGCGAAAACCTACTGACAGCACATGCTGGTTTCATCTCTGCTGCACTTCTCCTGGTTCTAGTTCAACGACGTCTTGCTGTACACAAGCAGGGGGCTGACAGCCTCGAATCAGTTTAAAGTCCACGGGCAGCTCCCGCTCTATGGCATGACGGTGAGTGTGCCGGGAGGGCACAACGTGGGGCCTTTCCCCGGCAGCCTGCAGGGCAGACTTGGCAGGTGCCGGCTCCTGCGCCTGGGATGCACGTGCCTTCTAGAATCAAGGTTGACACGGGCCGTGTGGTGTGAACTTGCCCCTCACCCCCCTGTGCCTGGCCCCGGAGTCCTGACGGTCCTTACCACACCAGAATAACGGTGCCCACTGGCTGGAGCTGGCCCAGCCAGCTGCCTGTGCCCCCCGAGAGGCCGGGGCGGGCTCCCATTCTGTAGCCCCTGGGCAGCAGGTCTGGACACAGCACTGGCTTCTGCCGACGCTGTCCTGGGGCCGGAGAGAGGGAAGGTTGTGGGCCCCTCTTGCCTTTCTGATGGTTTTCTGAGTGGGAACCCAGCTCCCGACGTGGGCTCCTGGTTCCTCCGAGCCCCGAGCAGTGGCGCCACTGGTCACACCAGTTCAGGAAGGTTTGGAAACGCTTGGCTTACGACCCCGCCGTGACATTGCAAACTCTTGCCCCGCAGATCGAGGAGAGTGAAGACGAGTGGGGGGTGCCCCACTGCCTCACCCTGCGGGGCCAGCGGCAGTCCATCATCGTGGCCGCCAGGTAACTCGGCGAGCCGCCCTTTCCCGCCTGCCCTTTCACGTGCTGTGGTCAGAACGCTGACACCTTCTCTGTCTCCAGTTCTCGGTCTGAGATGGAGAAGTGGGTTGAGGACATCCAGATGGCCATTGATCTGGCGGAGAAGAGCAGCGGCCCCACCCCCGAGTTCCTGGCCAGCAGCCCCCCAGACAACAGTAAGTGCGGCCAGGGCAGCCGCGAGGGGTGGCGGAGGGCCTGGTTTACAGAGGGAGGGCGTCACTGCGTTTAAAACCACCTGTCGGGAGGACACATGTCCATGGTCTACATTTGTGTTTAAAGCTGAAAATCAGGGAGCTTCCTTTTTCTAAAAGTAAAATACTGAAAACAGTATTTGGGAGCAGGAAAGCCATCTTTTCCAGGCCAGCATTGGCATTTATCACATACTGTCCCTGGAGAGGTCATGAGGTCATCTGTGTAGAGCAAGGGCTGCGGCCCAAGCTCCCGGGTGTGGAAGGGGGTCCCTAGCCGGGGGCAGTGGGATGCCCCCCACCAGTGGGTGCCATGAGTGTGACCACTGTGAGCCCTCCAACCTTCCAGAGCCTTCCTCAGCACCTCAGAGAGGGTATCAGATGGCTCTTTTTCCTGGGAGGAAAGATCAGAAGTGCTGCCTTTTGCCCATGCCCTGCAGAGTCCCCTGATGAAGCCACAGCAGCCGACCAGGAGTCAGAGGACGACCTGAGTGCCTCGCGCACCTCACTGGAGCGCCAGACCCCTCACCGCGGCAACACCATGGTGCACGTGTGCTGGCACCGCAACACCAGCGTCTCCATGGTGGACTTCAGCGTCGCCGTGGAGGTGCCGGCAGGGAGCGCCGCGTGGATAGCTCTTGTCCCCGCCTTGTGCTGGCTTCTGTGCCTGCCCGTTACAGCCCCACCCAGCAGGAAGGGACCAAAGCCCCGGGTTCCCCTCTGAGCGCACACGGCTGTCCCCGCAGGCAGAGCTGAGTGGGTGTTGTCCTTCCATAGATGCAGATGCATCTCTTGGTTTTCATTAGTGCTGGCTGCGGCCTGTGGGTTTTCTCTTGTTCGCTCCTCTTTCCTTTCCTCCCATGGAGTTAGCCTAGAAAGTAGCCCCCCATGCACAGCCGCCAGACAGCTCTGAACGTCATGTCCTGGAGCCGTCCCGTGGGACTGGGGTGCGTGGGGAAGGAGTAGAGATGGCAAGTGGGTGCCAGTCAGGGCCCGTGTTACAGGTCACGGAAGAACCCGAGGAGAAGGGCGCGCAGGATGGGGCCTCTCCAGGCGGCTCTGGGTTGTCCCTGTTCAGGGCTGGAAGGCGGTGGGCCCTCTCTCCTCCCATTATGCGGGGCACGGCCAACATTCCTTTAAAAAGAGACATATTAATAAGTGAAACACATAACAAGTTTATTTAATCGTAGTTCTCCATGACACAGGAGCCTTCAGAATGAAGTCCCCTCCTGACATGTAGATTCCAGGAGGAGTGGACGCGGGTAGAAGTGTGTTTGAACAAGGATATGAGCTGATGTTGCTAGACTGAGGCGAGGAACCCCGCAGGGCTTGTCCGTCCAGATTCTTCTCGGCCTCTCCTTCGTAGCATTTCCTCCTCCTAGGCCGGGGGGCAGCACCCCTCTGGAATGAGGTCTTACGACCTACTGTCAGACAAGGCAGGCCAGAGAGTTTCTTTATGGCCAGCTCAAAGGCAGAAAGGCAGGGGAAGGTTAGAGTCGTATTCTAGGATTTATGGCTGGCTCTGCGGAGGGGCATTCTCCTTGCTATGGCCAGCGTCAGGGAGAAGGGGTGCAAGACAGGAGGGCAGAGGAAGGCCAGAGATTTTGCTTCTGAGGCCTTCATTTTGGAGTGTCATTCTCTGGGCCCCATCACCTGGAATTGGCTTGGATGACGGGTCTCTCCCAGATCTGGACTGTGAAAACTTCCAGACCTTTCCTGATCTTTCCAAATAATTCTTCAGGGTTATAGCTGTTGTTCGGACCATTTGAAGCCCAGAAAGCTCTACAACAAGGAAGTTGTCTTGATCTCCCGTTGGCAGCAGAACCTGCCCTGAGCCAGTGTGAGGCCACTTCAACAGTCTAGATCTGAACGCCACCAACATGCTCCCAGAACAGCAGGCGAGCCCCGCTCCCCAGGGCCCCCACCCGTCTTTCTCCCGTGTGACTCGCACAGGCAGAAATGAGGAAGGGGGATATTTGGGGACAGCATAAAGATGCGCTGGCCTCAATGAAAGCTGTGGGCAGGCTCTGGGGCTCCCATTCAACGTGGGTTCTGATGTTAGGGAGGCCTCAGCCATGGCGCTAGAGCCAGCGGAGGGTCTGAGACGTGACGAGCGTGATCTTTTCCGCTTAGAGCTGCAGGGCGGTTGTCCAACCGACTGAACTCAGCCCAGGCCAGGAGGACACAAGGAACAGAGGGGTGGAGACTGTATTTATCCCCCATGGCAGCCAAACACAGAGCCACAAATTGGCTATAGCAACAGAAATTTATTCTCCAACAGCCAGGTGTCAGCAGGGTTGGTTCCTTCTGGAGGCTCTGACCATCCTTGCCACCCCCCGGCTTATGGACACAGCACATCCCCCCAGTCTATGCCTCGGTGGTCACAGGGTGTTCTCCCTTGTCTGTGCTCAAATGTCCCCTAGTAAGGACATTGGTCACGTTGGGTTTAGGTCTGAAAGACTGTATTATTTCCATTCATAGACGCTGAAGGTTTGGACTGGGGGGGGGGGGGGCGGCACAAGTCAGCCCACAGCAGGGACTGTGGTTGTGGGGAGGGAGGAGCAGAGAGGGGAGACCCCTGGCCTGGCCTTGAGGAAAGCGGGCATTGGCTGCTTCTGGGTCAAACAAAGGCAGCAAATGGAGACAGGCCCAAGGGTCCTCCCTGTGGACAAGGACTCAGCCTCTTCAGGCAGGGACACTGCAGAGAGGCCACTGGGACAGACCAGTGGGTGCACTTGCTGTCTGGAGGACAAAGGCAGAATTTAGAGGTTCCAGTGGGTCTGGAATGTGGTTGATCAGTCACATGTGTGAAGCACACTGTGGGGCTGGCTTTGGTGTCAGAGTTAATTGCATCTGAGAAAAATCATTTGGACTCTCTCTGAAGGAGTTTTCGATTGAGTATAAAAACGCTAAGGAAAGGAAATGTGCTCCTGTCCTCACCCCATGGCATGTGACCCTGCGTTGCTGCACAGCATTGCATCCAGACACCTGCTCAGCCTGGAAACCCGCCACCCCCCACAGCTCACGTCCATCTCCCCCCGCAGACCCTGAGCAATAGGAAGGCAGAGACGGTTCAACTTGCATCATCTCAGCTCCTAGATAGGGTCCTTACCTACAGGGGTACCCAAAGGGATAGGACAAAATAGCCTCAGAGGTATATATATATGTGGTAAAATACCTGTAAGATAAAATTCACCAATTTAACCCCTTTTAAGTGAACACTTCAGCAGCATTAATTTCCTTTACCGGGTTGGACAGGCCTCCCACCCTCCATTTCTCACCTTTTTGAGTCTCCCTTGGTGATGTCACTTTGACAAAGGGATCGAGTGGACCACCAGTTTGTCGGAAGCATGGACAGAGATGCGCTGTCACAAGAACGCTCTAGGGTCGGTCCCCAGGTCCCCAGCACACTCTGCCATGCCGCAGGCCTTGGCAACCGCAGAGTCAGCGGAGGACACCCAGAGAAGGGCGGGCTGCAGCTTCTCCCGGGCCCACTAGAGGGCAGGCGGGAGCTGCTTGCTTACTGTCCCAGGGCAAAGTCCCAGAACCTGGGTGCCTGAAAACAACAGAAATTGATTCTCTCTGTCCTGGAGGCCATTTGTCCAAAATCAAGGCATGGGCAGGGCGGCACTCCCTCTGAAACCAGTCAAGGAGGCTCTTTCTCCTTCAATGCCTGGTGTTCTTTGGCGTGTGGACACATCACTCCTGCCTCTGTTGTCAAGGCAGCCTCCCCGTTTTTCTTCTCAAAGGGCACCACTCCCGGTGGATTTAGGGCCCACCCCACTGTGACCTCATCTTTACTAATTTTATCTACTGTGACCCTGTTGCCAAATAAGGTACATTCTGAGGCTAGGACTTCAGTGTATCTGTTGCGGGGACACAGCGCAACCTCTACCCAGTGACAAGAAGTAAGCAACTCGGGTTCGTACAATCGGCCAAGGATTTCTCCACATTAGGGAACAGCAGGGGCCACATTCTCAAGTCGTGGATGTGTGTCACTTGCAGGAAGCCTATTCTTAGGACCACACCCAGCCTCAGACCCTGGACCCAGTGCAGGGGAGCCCAGCTGACCTGGCCCTGCCCCCGTCCGTGCTTCTTACAGCCTACTTGTCTTTCAGAATCAGTTGTCCGGGAACCTACTGAGGAAATTCAAAAACAGCAACGGGTGGCAGAAGCTGTGGGTGGTGTTCACAAACTTCTGCCTGTTCTTCTACAAGTCACACCAGGTGAGTGCCCCACACAAGGCAGGCGGGCTGGGGCTCCACGCAGCGTCTCGCTTCTCTCGGGGGCACTGCTGAGCCACCCGGCCCAGCGTGGAGAAGCCAAGTGCCCCATGGGGAAGGCCATGGCCAGCAGGGGCCCTCAACGCCACGCGAAGGCTGATGTCGGCCATTTGCTGAATGTCACTGACAGCTTGTGTCCTGGCGGGGACTCACTAGCTGGACCACCTGCCCCGGTGCACTCCCTTCCAGGCCCAATGCTGAGGGTGGAGCTGCCTGGGCTCCCAGAGTCCCTGCTCGGGGAGGGGTGGCCAGGCCTGCCGCCTACAGCCACTCGGTTCCCTGTTCCAGGACAATCATCCCCTCGCCAGCCTGCCTCTGCTCGGGTATTCACTCACCATCCCTTCGGAGTCCGAGAACATCCACAAAGACTACGTGTTCAAGCTGCACTTCAAGTCCCACGTGTACTACTTCAGGGCGGAAAGTGAATACACGTTTGAAAGGTAAGGTCCCCTTTCCTCTTCCAGATGTCAGTGTGTGAGGGGCCTGGCCCCCCGCCTCCCCCAACTGCTCAGAGTGGCAGTGAGAGGATTTAGAGCTGTGCCAGTGTGCGACTCTGTTCTCGTAGCGGCAAGTAGCATCAGGGTTTCCCTGGGGGTGACGATGGTCCTTACCCTGGACAGTGTCACCTGATGCTCAGACATCTCTAACTTGTGTGCCGTACACAAAAGCACAGCTTTAGCGTGTGCGCAGAACCGGAGAGGGCCTGCAGTGCTCTGCTGGCCGGAACCACCGAGACCCAGAGGAAGCATTTCAAGGGCAAAAACCTCAGGTTTTTCAGTACCTACCAAGTCGTAACACTCCTGATTGGGCTATATGGCCAGAAGGCTGTTTCAGGTCAAAGGACCACACAAGGAAGGGAAAAAAAATCTTAGTTCTTGTTAGAGCTACCTTATTGGTAAAACTACCACATGCTGTAGTGAGAACCAAGGGGCAGGGTCTTCACTAAGCCAAGGAATGAAAGTGAGGAGCCAAGCTGTTGGCTTCTGAAAGTCATATTTCAAGTGGAAAGTCTGGGTGGGCCTCCCCTGGCAGACCACAGACCAGTCCCCCACTTAGGTTAGTGTCCTATCAAACAGCATGGCTGGGGGAAGTTTCTCCCTGATACTGAACTCCACAAGGATTTACAAATTGATGGGCCAATTATGAATGGTGCACAATCCCTAGTAAATTCCATACAAAGAGCAGAGTGGTTTAAAACTCCCCTGACATCCGAAAACAGCCATTCCTAAGCAACACTGCTTGAATAATGAGCCTAGAGGACGGTAATTCTCAAATTTGACGCTGGACTGGAAAACTGGGAGTGAGAGCCTGAGTGGGATCTTCTTATCGCAGATTTGCAGTGCTAAGATCCTAAAAGGCCTGGAGGAAACTTCCAAATGTGAGCATTCCCCACAAGGGCAAGAAGCTGGCCATGCCGCCGTGTCCTCAGCACTACCTACCTGTGGGACCAGCTAATCCAGGGAGTGGGGAGACCGTCCTGCATACTGCAGGATGTTCACGGCATCCCTGGCCTCTACCCAGCAGATGCCGGTAGCATCTCCTCTTTTGCGACTACCAAAAATGTCTCTAGACTTTACCAAATGTCCCTCAGGCCAACATGGCTTCTAGTTGAGAACCACTGCTATACAGCAAATACACATGTAATAAAAGGGAGCTCTTGCTGAGCAGGGTGGGACACACACCATGTTCTCAGCAGTGTCCCAATGAAAAGGAGGAGGTGGTCTCTCAAACAGCCCCAAGTGCTCAAAATGGAGTAGATGGTGTCACCTGCGCAAGCACATGTGTCTCGGGTACTTCCAGCTCCCTACAAAACCACAGTGCTCAGGCCAACGGTTCTCAAATGGTGTTCCTCAGGAACAACTGGAAGAACCCTCTGCTCAGGTGCTAGGAGTTCATTCCCAAACCCGCCTGCTGGCATGGCAGGTTACAAACCAGGTGGTATCACAGCATGCTGTGTGTTGTAGGTGGTGATGGCCAAGATGTCATGAAGCTGTCCAAACAAGAAAAACAGGTTTATAAAACATGGCCCAAGGCAGTTATTTCACTTCTGTTTCAGGTGGATGGAAGTGATCCGAAGTGCCACCAGCTCAGCCTCACAGGCCCACGTTTTGAGCCACAAAGAATCCCACGTGTATTGATGGCCAGACGCGTTTGGTCGGTTCTGCAGTGGCCGCTTTCCTGGAAGACATTTACTTTCTTCTGTATTAATGAAGCCTAGTGAAATTAACACCTGTCTGAAAAACAACCTGGTTTTACTGCAGCTCTCGTCTGTCTCCACAGAAGCGTTTTTCAACCTTGTCCTCTCAGCTGTTAATTTCTCATCTGAACGGAACAGTGATCCCAGCTCCAGGCCCGGGTGGCGTTTCGTCTGTCATTCTCTCGGGGGGCTGTTGTTTAGCTTGTGACAGTATTAAAACATTGTCATTAAAAGAGTGCCAAATGACATTTCTTCCTCCACATTGCATCTTGAAAGGACAGACACGTCCGTTCAACCATAAGACAGGGCAAGTGCTCTTCTTTTTCTTAAAGAAACTTTTATTATTTTCATCTACAGGCTGCTGCATTTAAAAAAAAATGGATTTTTCAATGTTTGCGATATACGTGGCACAGTCTTAAGTAAATGAGAGCATTTCCAGATTTTGGTTTTTTTTTTTTTTTCAATCATCTTTCTACTTTTATAATAATAGGCAGTTAGTGGGACTCACGTCTTTGATTAATAAGCAATTTGCAGCACACTACGTTCCCCTTAGGGGTGGCACGCTCCAGTGAAAACACTTGCTATCGACCTCCTCCTTGGCACAAGTTGACCAAATCATTTAAGCGATTACTATTCACAAACTGTCGCGGGGTTGTCTTCTATTACGAGAAGCAGAATGCAGTGCAATATCCGGACTGTCACTGTACTGTGAGTGGTGTGTACAATGGGAAGATACTAAGCTGTGGTGTTTTGCTGTCCATGTCACAAGCATGAAAACCTGTATGTCATTAATCAGGGCCATTTGTGGTATGTTTCTGTGACGAGCGTTTTGTGAGCGTCGTGGCTGCAGAGGCACGATGAAGTGATGGTACGTAGTCCCCTGGTACTCCCATATCCTCCTGCAACTGTGGTTGAAACTGCACATCCTCTAGTAGTATATATCGTGCCTGTCCTCAAAAGCAACATTGACCTTTTCTTACTCATTCCCCCCGGGCATGGGGTCACGACAGTATGACATTGAACCTCCCTGACAGTCAGACTACACAGGGAACATGGTTTCCAACCACTTGGGCCCGCGACTTGGAAGGCATTGGCCTGTTCTCTCTGGTGACGGGTGGCTGCTATTCCCTTAGCGTTCGTAGGCCCTTCCTAATGCAAGTGCGGAACAATCCGGAGGCTGCGGCCAACTCAACACCGTTCTCTTCCGTGCCCTGAAGCAGCGCTGGGAAGGGCTACTTACCCAGGACACAGGAAGCCACCGGCTCAGCTGAGCTGGGACTGGTGTGCGTGGAAATGGGGACTGACCAACGGACAAGTAGCTCGACACGTGTTAATCCTTTGCCTTACAACATGTACCAGACGGGTTGAAGTACTAACAAAAGGGAATAAAAATACCTCACGCCACAACCCAGCATATTGAAGTTCTAAGGCAAAACCACCAACCTTGTCTCTCGTCTTTATTTTCAGCCTGTGTGTGTGGCAGGGCGGGGAGGACAGGGACTCGCTCACTGAGACAGACAATACAGGGGAAGAGAACACTCTACCAGAGGGGCCAGTGGCAGCTCTGACAGACGAGGAGTAAGTCCCTGGGCCACGGGAGTGGGGCAGAGGTACGGGGAGGGCCCACCCTGCCGGTCCTGTGTGGATGGCAGCCCAGATGGCAAAGCAGCACCAGAAGATGGTCCTTCCAGTAGTCCCCTGTCACTAAATTCCAGGTGACAGGCATGAAGTGGCCTCCTACCTCCGTATTTCTGAATGATTCCAATCCGTGCCCAGCACCTCTGTGTCCTCCGTGACCTCAGAGGAAAATGAAGTCAACAGTGTGGGCAACTTAGTCCACTCCCAAGCTGCCGGGACACATGCAGTTGCAGGCCCACCTGCTACACCTAAGACACAAAATTACAGAAGTAACTGTTTCCTGTGAGCTTTACTGACCCGTGCATGATACAGTACCTATGCTTAAGAATACACCCTGGAGGGCTCTGCCTTTGTTGCCTTGTTTCTTAAGGAAGGAAATAGAAAGATGGCTATAAACAGACCACATATTTTACCAAAGGAAAGGTACAAAATACAACATAAAGAACCAAACTAGACCTGTCACAAGAGCAACTTGAGAATAAAACTGTTGGATTTGGAAGGCAGGTGGCACTTCCAAAAGAGCCCAGCTGTTAGGTAGCCATGTCATCTCAAACCACACTGGTGGGCCACCTCCCTGGGCACAGTCAGCTGGGACACAGACGCTAGCCAGTCACTCGCGGCCAGGCTGGTTCACAAAGGCAGTGGCTGTGTTCCACTCACAGCTGTGTAGAACACTTCCCCACACGAGCACATGCGCACAAGCTGCAGTCTTAGGCAGATGAGCCACCAACAGCCCAGGTAGGCACTGAGAAGCTTCCAAGTAATCGTGAATCTGTCTATCATGCTGAGCTCACAGGTCTGGCTACAGACTGACAACAGTCTATGTTGTCTGAAGCAGGTTCCAGTTGTAGCTCTGGTACCTGGTCTCTCTTTTAATGAAGGACTGGCAGTAGACACACACATGCCAGCTTCCTTGGTTATACCAGATGCCCTCAGGAATATCTCGGCTGGTAAAGTAACAACTCAGAAGAGATTGTACAGGAAGGTGATCTGCTTTTAAACTCCAAACCACATCTCCACCAGGAAGCTAAATGGACAGAAAATGTTTCCAATAAACTCTGAAAGACTCACTTGTTGCTTTACTGGGAGATGGAGTTGTGTAGTACCATAGCCTAGTGACTGCAGAGAACCTACTAACCACTCACATCAATACCCCTAATTAGAATCCAGTCTAGCAGCATAAACACGGTTACTGCATTGGAGACTGGCTTCAGCACTAGCAGTTGTGATGTCGTTGTCCACTTGTAAATCTGAAGAACTCTGCGAATCAGGAAAGCTGCCATCTACCTTGGCTCTCTTAAAACCACATAAGCTGCACACTCACTGTGGGGAAAACGGATTCATTTCTTTGAATGGTTCTTTCTCCTGCAATGGATGGAACTAACCTATGGTTTAGGCCTCATGCCTCATATAGGGAAACAAATAGTTCCCCGTACAGAACACTTCCCAGAAACACAAAATGAAATAATTCTTCTAATTTTTTTTTGAGAGACAGGGTCTTGATCTATTGCCCAGGCTGGAGTACAATAACACGGTCATAGCCCACTGTACTCTCGAACCCCTGTGATCCTTCCATTCAGGCTTCCAAGTAGCTAGGACTACAACAGGCACGGGCCATCACACCTAATTTTTCTACTTTTTGTAGAAGTGGGGTCTTTCTATGTTACCTAGGCTGGTCTCGAACTCCAGCCTCAAGTGATCCTCCCCCCTTGGCCTCTCAAAGTGATAGGATCACAGGCATGAGCCACTGCACGCCACCTATATTCTTGGATTTTATTCATCAAAGTAACATTCTTGCTGCAGAATAACAAATACAATAAAAATTAGTAATTCCATTCTATTTCCCCTAACCAAAATGTATGTATCCCTTATACAAATACAGTTCAACCCAAATCCATTTCTAATAAAATATTACGATTTAACTTTAGAGTTTAAAAGCTACATTCCGTTATCCGGGAGCAGTGGGGGGAGGCTGAGGCGGGAAGATTGCTTCAGCCTAAGAATTTTGAGTACAACCCAGGCAACATAGCCAATACCCCACCTTTAACACACAAACAAACAAAAGCTGGACTTCATTAAACTGGAGCCGCTCAAACGTCTGGCTCAGGTCTCTGTCCTCTTTCCTATACCTTCCAGGCCACTAGACCAGGAGATAGCTGAGCTTACAAGCCAAGCTTACCCAGTAAAACTTTTAGTCTTCGAGAATTGGTATTCCAACAAGAGATGACAATAATTAGCATCAACAAACACGAAGGAATGCCACACATACCTAAATCAACAGTCAAGAGTTGCCACAAGAACTCTTTCCCATCCCAGAAATTCAGAGACTATTTCCCCTTTGCCAGGCAAGGCCCTGCAGCAAGCAAAGAAAAACAGACACCCTGGCTGACGGCGCTAGCCAATATAGGCTCCTTTAAGAGAACTGAAACAACCCTTCAAGTCCCCAGCAAGTGGTAGAGCAATTTTACAAATTAGCGATGTTCAACCCCATCTCAGGGACCAATTTTACAGGCTGCACAGAGAGCTGCCCTGGACACTCAGCATTCTGACATCTGGGCGCTTCTCCCTGAAGTCTTCTGAAGTGCCTTCTCTCTCTCTCTCTCACACACACACACACAGCAGGTGCCCCGTCCTCTGAAGAGTCACGTTTCAAGGAGAGTATACAAAGTAAGTGTTATAAAATTTATTCGTGTAAGCATTCAGACATTTTTAGGTGGGAAAGATGATATGCAGATTCCACTACAAGGTACAACAGAAAATCGTACTGGAAAGGACGGTACATCTGGCGCAGACCAGCAGTGGCACGATTCCAAACAAATGTTAGACGAGAGCGCTTCATTGGGGAGAAACCAAAGATAATAATTTAAAGCTTCATGAGGCAAGATATGTTCCAATTTAAAACACTAAGAAATAGTACCATCAATGAAAAAGGAAATCAACTTCTAAGTGTACCAAAAGGGTGGTAAGGGCAAACGAGGAAAATTTGCATTTGTTGAGGTACAAATAGGAGTGTTCCATAAGAGGGGCATTAATTATTATTAATGACAAACCCTGCAAATACAAAATAAAACCCAAATCACTGGTCACATAATTCAAAATTTACATGTAATAAAGGCAAGGCAATAGACTCAAGTCATGGCCTGTCAAATATTTACTCCACTGACATTATCTACAGAAGCACTTGGCCAATTTGTACACAGTGATTCCTTATGCACGCCGAAAGAGTTTCCGTAAAAATGACACTATATACAAATCTGTACACCGATCCACCAGAGCGATTCTCCATCTCCCGGGGGGAGTTGTCAACTTAAAGCAGGATACCTGAGGTTTCATGTCTGTAGTTGCCTTATCATAATCCCAAATATACATTTCAGGGTTTCTGTTTGTAAAGACACTTTCCTTGAATATGTGCACTATGGTTAAAATTAA